AGTTTTCAAAAACCTCTCAAAAAGCTACCGATCCATAAGTCTGGAGTGTGGTTGGGAGACTGTTCCACTTCTGATTTATTAAAACAAAGGTTTCCTTTAGTGGTGGTGCTAAGTAATCCGGTTGGAACGCACAGCAGCACAATTGTCATGTTCGCCAGCTCTGACAAGTAAAACCTCACATGTTTGTGTAATCATAGTGACGCGTGTGACGCAGGTTCCTCTCCGTGCAACTGCATCTGCAGATATCACTTGTTTATCTGAAGACATAGAACGTTCAATCGAAGTCGACACACTAGTTCCTCATAAATGGCAAGTCCTTTATGACCAAAATGCCAGCTGTAAGCTAAAACAGAAGTATGCTTTAAATTTGGTGTGTTCTCAATCGAACGGGTCAATTATCCAAGTCGTCATTAGGTTTGATAATGGGTAGACATTGTATATGGGGATAATGACACACCAGCATGAGGATGTGGACATGAAAATGAAAATGCATTTCATTTGATATTTGAATGCCCACTCTATAATAACATTAGAATGCATATAGTAAAACAAATTTCTCAATTTGGTACAACTGATGATCATGATCATTTTAATCTAAATTCTCTACTAAATGGGTGTTTAATATGCACTGATAACAACATATCCATTTTACAAAATATATCCGACTATGTTTGTCAAACTAATAGACTTGATATGTAATCTAAGTGATGCTATTAATAGCTATTCAAATCACCTGCGTCCGTGGTCCGGCCTTAAACAACTTTTGAGACTGACCGGATAAACAACATGGTCGACAGGCAGCCATCTTGGATTTTGATAGTGAAGGTTTGTTACCGCTATTTCTCCAGAAGTACGAGAGGGATCTTTCTAAAATTGTATAGGTATGTTCCCCTTGGTCACTTCTTGTGTAGGGCAACTTTTGAGACTTATCAGATAAACAACATGGCCGACAGGAAGCCATCTTGGATTTTGATAGTGAAGGTTTGTTACCGCTATTTCTCCAGAAGTACATGTACCAAAAGGATCTTCCTTAGTTCTTATATGTAGGTTCCCCTTGGTCCCTTGCTGTGCAGTACAACTTTTGAAACTTATCAGATAAACAACATGGCCGACAGGAAGCCATCTTGGATTTTGACAGTAAAAGTTTGTTATGGCTATTTCTCAGGAAGTAAAAGAGGGATCTTTCTCAATTTTTTTATGTAGGTTCCCCTTGTTCCCTTGTTGTGCAGGGCAACTATTGATACTGATTGGAAAAACAATATGGTCGACAGGCAGCCAACTTGGATTTTGATAGTGAAAGTTTGTTATCGCTATTTCTCCGGAAGTACTATAAGGGATCTTATTCAAATTTTATATGTAGGTTTCCCTTGGTCTCAAGCTGTGCAGGGCAACTTTTTAGACTGATTGGATAAACAACATATCCGACAGGCAGCCATCTTGGATTTTGATAGTGAAGGTTTGTTACCGCTATTTCTCCAGAGGTACATGTACCAAAAGGATCTTCCTTAGTTCTTATATGTACAAATGTAGGTTCCCCTTGGTCCCTTGCTGTGCAGTACAATTTTTGAAAATGTTTGGATAAACAAAATGGCCGACAGGGAGCCATTTTGGATTTTGACAGTGAAAGTTTGTTATGGCTATTTCTCAGGAAGTGCAAGAGGGATCTTTCTCAAATGTTATATGTAGGTTCCCCTTGGTCCTTAGCTGTGCAGGGCAACTTAAAAGACTTATTGGATAAACAACATGGCCGACAGGCAGCCATCTTGGATTTTGATAGTGAAGGTTTGTTACCGCTTTTTCTCAAGAAGTACCAACGGGATCTTTCTTAAATTTTATAGGTATGTTCCCCTTGGTCCCTTGTTGTGCAGGGCAATTTTTGAGACTTATCGGATTAACAACATGGCCGACAGGCAGCCATCTTGGATTTTGATAGTGTAAGAACAAGAGGGATCTTTCTCAAATTTTATATGTAGGTTCCCCTTGGTTATTTGCTGTGCAGGGCAACTTTAAAGACTTATCAGATAAACAATATGGCCGACAGGCAGCCATCTTGGATTTTGATAGTGAAGGTTTGTTACCGCTTTTTCTCAAGAAGTACCAGAGGGATCTTTCTTAAATTTTATAGGTAGGTTCCCCTTTGTCCCTTGTTTCGAGTGCAACTATTGAATATGATCGGATAAACAACATGGCCGACAAGCAGCCATCTTGAATTTTGACATTGAAGGTTTGTTATCGCTATTTCTCAGGATGACTGGAGGGATCTTTCCCAAATTTGTTAAATAGGCTCCCCTAGGTCTGTAGTTGTGCATGCTCAATTATGAGAATGATTAGAAAAACAAAATGGCCAACAGACAGCCATCTTGGATTTTGACATTGAAGGTTTGTTATGGCTATTTCTCAGGATGACTGGAGGGATCTTTCTTATTTGTTTATGTAGGTTCCCTTGGTATGAAGTTATGCATATTTTCTTTTATGAGACTGATCGACTAAACAAATCTTTGATTTTGACAGTTAAGGTTTGTTAGTACTATTTCCCAGGAAGTACTGGAGGGTTCTTTCTCAAATTCTATATGCAGGTTCCCCACTATCCTTTATTGTTCATGTTTACGTTTGAAACTGATCAGTTAAACAAAATGGCCAACCGACAGCTATCTCCGATTTTTTACATTGAAGATTTGTTGGTACTATTTCTCAGGAATAACTTGAGGTATCTTTCTCAAATTTGATTTGTAGGTTCCCCTTGATCCCTCGTTGTGCATGTTATATTTTGAGACTGATCATAAAAACAAAATGGCTAAAAGAAGAACTAAACAGATCTTTCCCATGTTGCAATGATCAATTCTATTTCTTTCACATTAAGTACTTTACTAGTTAAGTACTGTACTAGTAAATATGTGAAATGACAAACTCACTTTGAAGGTTGGCTTTCATACACATCAGTATTAAGTTGAGATCAAAAGTTACCTCAAGGTGCATTTACTGTTAACATGACTCGATCAAACAGATAAGAGGAAAGAAGAGAAAAGATCGAACTGACATAGAATTAATGAAGATGGTACAATGGTGGGCGCCAAGATCCCTCTGGGATCTCTTGTTTATAGTGTCATGATCACTCTGCTAATAAGTATTTATCTATCTTCACAACATCTCTGGTATTTGACTGGACTGGATGAAATTTATGAATGTACTACTCTTTAACCTGTTCTAACTATTTCATAGTTACATGAATATTTTAGAGTGCTTTGTTAACTAAATTTTAAGAGAATCAACTCCTATAATAGATAATAATAACTACATTTGCCCATATGAATGCATATATCCAGTGGGTGGATGGCCAATGTGTTTATACACAGGGACTTTTGGGCCTGTATCCCTTGGATTTTATGTAGGATGGGTTGTCAATAAATATATATGATTTATTTAATTGTTAATATCCAAAACATAAACAGAAAATGATTGAATAATAGTTGCAAAATGTTCGTTTCACAAGCTAAATTGGAGTTATCTCCCCTGCACTGTTTAATTGGATTGTTATGACAGACTATATGTTATGCTTGTAAATAAGTTTGGAAAATACTTAAATAGGCCTAGCCTGATGTCCAATCCAATTGACATATATAAAGTCAATAAAATATGTTGAAATTGATAAAGGGTAATATCACTGTAGCAATGTTAGGAAAGATCGTGTTTGCAACAGAATATTCAAATTGGTTTCGAAAAAAGGAGTAGCCGTTTCTTGTTCCCGGCACAGATCCTTAGGAAAGTAAATCATTAGATACAACGTTGTCTGCTGACGTTCGTTACTGTCCATCAAATAGGACACGAAGGTCTTCATTGGTTATGACATGGATAACGATACATACACGTGATAGTGTTATCTCAGATGTTCCATCGCAGACAGAAGCGAGGAATTGAGAAGATGTCACTGGATTTATTGAAGATAAATGTCTAAATATATTTGATGTTTTATCATGGATATAACGGAAATATAATCTAAATTACAACAGTCGCTCCCGAAGGTCAGGAATGAGAAACCATTTGAGAACAAAGGTCAAGGTCACAGTATCATAGGCTTAAAGGTCAACCATAAGAAAGTCTTGAAACGTCCTATACAGTAATATACTAAACAAGAATTTACAAATACTACACAATTATATACTCAAGAAGCTCATAGCCTTGCTCGTTATGTAACTTGGATAAAGGCATATTTCAACTATGTAGTTTAGAACTAGATATGTTTTGTCCCAGCTCCTGCATTGATGGGATCGGAGCTAAACACAAAAGAAATGGAGCTAAACGAAAACTAAAAGCAAAAGTAAAATTGAAAATATAAGTCACAGTGACCTACATCCCCAACGAGTGGTCTCAGTGACCTACATCCCCAGCGAGTGATGATTGGTTATCATGTTTATCTGTCACCAGTTAGTTAACTTTCAAATTGTATGAAGACACGAGGTTTATGGAGTGCCTAATACAATTAACTAACGATATATATATAAACATGATAATCAACCATCACACACTGGAACCTTTTTCTCCCACAACGTTCCGATATTGTTCTACTTTTTGCGCATCTCAGACAGGGATATCCCGAGTGATACCCATATGCGTTCTTCCTTGTACGGACGGACCTCATTGTTTACGCGAAAGCATTCAAACGTAGCTTTAGAAGTGAAGAGGACATTCATTTTAGGCCCCAGAAGGGATACTTGTAGACTATTGCGAATAAGTTTGATGCGAGAACAAAAATCAATTACCTGTATAACTGAGCAAGATTGGGATATCTCAGGCTTGGGCCAAGACTCAGAATCTCAGTCCTCGACTGAGATAATCCGATCTCGGTACCAAAACAATTTATTGATTAGAAACTGAATAAACCGATATCTATAATCATATGTCGGTATAGGCCAGTAGGGAGATCAGTGAACGCCAATACACACCTTTAAATATATCAATCACACAGGTAAGTATACTCGACCAGGTAAGTACATGGCTAGTACGTACACAACCAGACGCGAAGGGTGAGGTATATCTGTGTCTGTATGACGATCACAACAACACTGGAACGTGGATTTACTTATAGGGATAACTTCGGACACAAGGTGCCGTGCCGATTGCCAGTAGGACGTGCACAGCCACCTCGGACAGTGTGTCAGGTGTTTATTGTGGACGATGTTCAACAGGGCCTCACCCATGACTGAAAGTGTGTTTAAAATACAAGTACTGTGTGTATGTATACCATTCTAATCCGTTCTTCTTTTGTTATGTCGCCGAAAGTGTTACCTTGATCCAGTTTTGGTGATGGTGTGTACATTCGAGTAGTTTTGATGGCGTTGAAAAGCGTGCAGATATCAACATGTATTGGACATTGTATGAGGTTAGGAAGATAGGTAAATATCATAACATCGCACACTTGTGGTGTCTACGGTTAAACCCCGCTACTGTGTATAACGATTCTGTCAAGTGTTGTGTATTAAAACATGGGTAATACAGAATGTAGGACAGACTATGACATCGCTATAAAACCGTTCTCCATATACAGACCTTTCCAAAATGGCGTTACAGGAGATATTCCCTGACCCAGTGACAGTGTTTAGTGCACGACTTCCAGACGAACCACCGTGTCTACTCACAGACATCGCTGTGATTCCTGGGGCATTCGTTGTCATTGATAATGAGAATAAAAATGCCAAAAGATTCAACTTTCAAATGACCTTGATTGACCTTGTCAAACTAGAGGACCCCTGTGGAGTTACAAAGCTTTCTTTATCCTCGCATGTGGCAGTGACACAGCCTCAACAGCACGTGATAACATTCATTTCCGTCGAAACTGGCGGGAAAATGTCCATTAGTTCCTCAAGACACACCAACCGGAAGTACCAATCAATATCCTGTCTGGATGAGATGCGCCTCGTGGCGGGATGCTGTGAGCTAGGTCATGGATCTGTAGATATTCTGACTTATGAAGGAGACGTGTTGTGTTCTATAGAAAGGAATGAAAGCAAGTCGCGAATTTTCCGGACCCCGGCAAGTTTGACGTGTTTTGCTGGTCGGTACGTGTTGGTGTCTGATTCAGGTCGGAGGGAGCTTGTTTGTGTGACTACAAAAGGAGAACTTAAATTTGTCCATGACCCTCATGGGACCCCAAGCGGGGTGGGCGTGACAAATACCGGTGACGTATACGTGTGCATTTATGATAAGGGTGTGGTCCAAAAAATTGACGTTAACATGGGAACCACGTGTGACGACTGTCTACCGGAAGTTGAAACTAGGTTTCCCCTAGCAACATGTTTGCCTAAAGACAGAGTGCTCGTCATTACGGAGGAGATGCCAAGTGACAGGGTGTTGGTGGTAAATGTATGTTATACTATGTAAACCTAATACCCCTTCTTTAACATATTTTTTTTATTTGTTAGCATCCTTCCGCTTCCTACACTAGTACATAATAATCTTTAACGAATATGTAAACATTTGTAAAGTGATGTTTTTTCTCTTAATTTAAGAACGAACTGTAAACGCCTGAACTGCGGTATATAGACTTTATAAAATTATATTACAAAAAACGGTTTCATCTACCAAGCTACACGTATTGGTTCAGAGTCGAAACCGGAAGTCACGATTATCGCATTTGGACTTATCTATCGTACTATTGAACATAAATTGCGCGAATTTTGAAGAAACCTTAACATGCACAGCTGACATTGAACAAGATATTAATGGTGCTTTTTCTCAAACACTTGATTATCATGTAGCACAGTGTTCCTTGTGTGTGTCTCTAGACACCTTCTCATTACATTGAACACCCTGTATAAATATTCCATTCTCTTCTTACTTTCAGTTAGACGCTTATGAGAAGACATTCAAACACGGCCCTACTCTAAAACTGTCAAACATTCATTTGACTATAGACAGTAGTTACACAGAGGAACGAAACACTGTCAATCAAGTCAACAGTACGTCAGGGTGTGTGAACACTGATGAGGATTGCACAGGAAAGTGAATCTTCTCTCCCAGCCTCCCAAAATTTCGCTGATTAATTTTGTCGTCGATATATCCACAGTAGCATGGCCAACACGTACAACATAACCAGAACCGCAACACGTACAACATTACCAGAACTGCAGCACGTACAACATTACCAGAACCGCAACACGTACAACATTACCAGAACCGCAAGACGTACAACATTACCAGAACCGCAACTCTGTACTTCTGTAGTTGTCTACTCATCTCCCTGCCTTGAGGAGTATCATCAAAATAAGTATAGGACTCCAGCCTAGGACTAAAGACTCTTCTGTAGTGTTGTACTCATTTCCCTACCTTGAGGAGTATCATCAAAATAAGTATAGGACTCCAGTCTAGGACTAAAGACTCTTCTGTAGTGTTGTACTCAGCTCACTGCCTTGAGGAGTATCGCCAAAATAAGTATAGGACTCCAGAATTTGACTAAAGACTTCTCTGTAGTGTTGTACTCATCTCCTACCTTGAGGAGTATCGTCAAAATAAGTATAGTACTCCAGACTAGGACTAAAGACTCTTCTGTAGTGTTGTACTCAGCTCACTGCCTTGAGGAGTATCGCCAAAATAAGTATAGGACTCCAGAATTTGACTAAAGACTTCTCTGTAGTGTTGTACTCATCTCCCTGCCTTGAGGAGTATCATCAAAATAAGTATAGGACTCCAGTCTAGGACTAAAGACTCTTCTGTAGTGTTGTACTCAGCTCACTGCCTTGAGGAGTATCGCCAAAATAAGTATAGGACTCCAGAATTTGACTAAAGACTTCTCTGTGGTGTTGTACTCATCTCACTGCCTTCAGGAGTATCGTCAAAATAAGTATAGGAACTCCAGACTAGGACTAAATACTTCTTTGTAGTTGTGACTCATCTCCCTGCCTTGAGGAGTATCGTCAAAATAAGTATAGTACTCCAGACTAGGACTAAAGACTTCTCTGTAGTGTTGTACTCATCTCACTTCTGTAGTTGTCTACTCATCTCCCTGCCTTGAGGAGTATCGTCAAAATAACTATAGGACTCCAGACTAGGACTAGACTCCTCTGTAGTGTTGTACTGATCTCCCTACCTTGAGGAGTATCGTCAAAATAACTATAGGACTCCAGACTAGGACTAGACTCCTCTGTAGTGTTGTACTAATATCAATGCCTTGATGAGTATCGTCCAAATAAGTATAGGACTCCAGACTTTGACTAAAGACTTCTCTGTAGTGTTGTACTCATCTCACTTCTGTAGTTGTCTACTCATCTCCCTGCCTTGAGGAGTATCGTCAAAATAACTATAGGACTCCAGACTAGGACTAGACTCCTCTGTAGTGTTGTACTGATCTACCTACCTTGAGGAGTATCGTCAAAATAAGTATAGAACTCCAGACTAGGACTAAAGACTTCTCTGTAGTGTTGTACTCATCTCCCTGCCTTGAGGAGTATCATCAAGATAAGTATAGGACTCCAGACTAGGACCAAAGACTCCTCTGTAGTGTTGTACTAATCTCCCTAACTTGAGGAGTATCGTCAAAATAACTATAGGACTCCAGACTAGGACTAGACTCCTCTGTAGTGTTGTACTCATCTCCCTGCCTTGAGGAGTATCGTCAAAATAACTATAGGACTCCAGACTAGGACTAGACTCCTCTGTAGTGTTGTACTCATCTCACTTCTGTAGTTGTCTACTCATCTCCCTGCCTTGAGGAGTATCGTCAAAATAACTATAGGACTCCAGACTAGGACTAGACTCCTCTGTAGTGTTGTACTAATATCAATGCCTTGATGAGTATCGTCAAAATAAGTAGAGGACTCCAGACTAGGACTAAAGACTACTCTGTAGTGTTGTACTAATCTCCCTAACTTGAGGCGAATCGTCAAAATAAGTATAGGACTCCAGAATTTGACTAAAGACTTCTCTGTAGTGTTGTACTCCTCTCACTGTCTTGAGGAGTATCGCCAAAATAAGTATAGGACTCCAGACTAGGACTAAAGACTCCTCTGTAATGTTGTACTTATCTCAATGCCTTGAGGAGTATCGTCAAAATAAGTATAGGGCTCCAGGCTAGGACTAAAGGCTCCTCTGTAATGTTGTACTTATCGCAATGCCTTGAGGAGTATCGTCAAAATAACTATAGGACTCCAGACTAGATCTAAAGACTCCTCTGTAATTTTGTACTTATCTCAATGCCTTGAGGAGTATGGTCAAAATAAGTATAGGACTCCAGACTTTGACTAAAGACTTCTCTGTGTGTTGTACTCATCTCCCTGCCCTGAGGAAGGACTCCAGACTAGGACTAAAGACTCCTCTGTAGTGTTGTACTAATCTCCCTAACTTGAGGAGTATCGTCAAAATAAGTATAGGACTCCAGACTAGGACTAAAGACTCCTCTGTAGTGTTGTACTCATCTCCCTGCCTTGAGGAGTATCGTCAAAATAAGTATAGGACTCCAGACTAGGACTAAAGACTCCTCTGTAGTGTTGTACTAATCTCCCTGCCTTGAGAAGTATCATCAAAATAAGTATAGGACTCCAGACTAGGACTAAAGACTTCTCTGTAGTGTTGTACTCATCTCCCTACCTTGAGGAGTATCGTCAAAATAAGTATAGGACTCCAGACTAGGACTAAAGACTTCTTTGTAGTGTTGTACTCATCTCCCTACCTTGAGGAGTATCATCAAAATAAGTATAGGACTCCAGACTAGGACTAAAGACTCCTCTGTAGTGTTGTACTCATCTCCCTACCTTGAGGAGTATCGTCAAAATAAGTATAGGACTCCAGACTAGGACTAAATACTTCTCTGTAGTGTTGTACTAATCTCCCGGCCTTGAGGAGTATCGTCAAAATAAGTATAGGACTCCAGACTAGGCCTAAAGACTCCTCTGTAGTGTTGTACTCATCTCACTGCCTTGAGAAGTATCGTCAAAATAAGTATAGGACTCCAGACTTTGACTAAAGACTCCTCTGTAGTGTTGTACTCATCTCACTGCCTTGAGAAGTATCGTCAAAATAAGTATAGGACTCCAGACTTTGACTAAAGACTCCTCTGTAGTGTTGTACTCATCTCACTGCCTTGAGAAGTATCGTCAAAATAAGTATAGGACTCCAGACTGTGACTAAAGACTCCTCTGTAGTGTTGTACTCATCTCCCTACCTTGAGGAGTATCATCAAAATAAGTATAGGACTCCAGACTAGGACTAAAGACTCCTCTGTAGTGTTGTGCTCATCTCCCTGCCTTGAGGAGTATCGTCAAAATAAGTATAGGACTCCAGACTTTGACTAAAGACTCCTCTGTAGTGTTGTACTCATCTCACTGCCTTGAGAAGTATCGTCAAAATAAGTATAGGACTCCAGACTGTGACTAAAGACTCCTCTGTAGTGTTGTACTCATCTCCCTACCTCGAGGAGTATCGTCAAAATAAGTATAGGACTCCAGACTAGGCCTAAAGACTCCTCTGTAGTGTTGTACTCATCTCACTGCCTTGAGGAGTATAGTCAAAATAAGTATAGGACTCCAGACTAGGACTAAAGACTCCTATGTAGTGTTGTACTAATCTCCCTGCCTTGAGGAGTATCGTCAAAATAAGTATAGGACTCCAGACTTTGACTAAAGACTCCTCTGTAGTGTTGTACTCATCTCACTGCCTTGAGGAGTATAGTCAAAATAAGTATAGGACTCCAGACTAGGACTAAATACTTCTCTGTAGTGTCGTACTAATCTCCCGGCCTTGAGGAGTATCGTCAAAATAAGTATAGGACTCCAGACTAGGACAAAAGACTCTTCTGTAGTGTTGTACTCATCTCACTGCCTTGAGAAGTATCGTCAAAATAAGTATAGGACTCCAGACTAGATCTAAAGAATCCTCTGTAGTGTTGTACTCATCTCCCTGCCTTGAGGAGTATCGTCAAAATAAGTATAGGACTCCAGACTGTGACTAAAGACTCCTCTGTAGTGTTGTACTCATCTCACTGCCTTGAGGAGTATAGTCAAAATAAGTATAGGACTCCAGACTAGGACTAAATACTTCTCTGTAGTGTTGTACTAATCTCCCGGCCTTGAGGAGTATAGTCAAAATAAGTATAGGACTCCAGACTAGGACTAAAGACTTCTTTGTAGTGTTGTACTCATCTCCCTACCTTGAGGAGGATCGTCAAAATAAGTATAGGACTCCAGACTAGGACTAAAGACTCCTTTGACTAATGACATCATATAATAGGTGGGCAGGTTTTCATCGTAACTTTTAGGGAAGGGAGACACTCATTCCTCACCTTAGGACTAGGATTTGTTTCCCACTTTGTAAGTGACACAAACATCTATAACTCTCGGAATACAATTCTTAAATGTCCTTCCTTCGCCAGACTCTTTGGATGGACATTTTATAATCTTATTCCTTCAGTAAAGACTTTTTTCCGACTCAACTAGAATTAGGAAAGCTTGCATTAATCTGGATCCTAATCGAATCAGTCAGAATACCACAGGAACAAATTTGTGTAGTTATTGTTTTATTCAGCTTTCTTCAATTTAATATAAATCGTTTGATATGTTTGTTAAATAAACTAGTGTACTAGTATTTGTCAAAGAGGACGACGTATCTTTTTGCTTCATTGTCTGCGTCACATGTTCCTACCACGATGAGATTTATAAACGCCACAACAAGAGTATAAGCCTACCCCATACCGCTATGTATAGGCCTACCCTATACCGGCTATGTATATGCCTACCCCACATCGGCTATGTATAGGCCTACCTCATACCGCTATGTATAGGCCTACCCCATACCGGCTATGTATAGGCCTACCCATATCGGCTATGTATAGGCCTACCCCATACCGCTATGTATAGGCCTACCCCACACCGGCTATGTATAGGCCTATCCCACACCAGCTATGTATAGGCCTACCCCACACCGGCTATGTATAGGCCTACCCCATACCGGTTATGTATAGGCCTACCCGATAACGGCTGTGTTTAGGCCTACCCCATAACGGCTATGTATAGGCCTACCCCATAACGGCTATGTATAGGCCTACCCCATAACGGCTATGTATAAGCCTCACCGTCTGTATAGAACACAATATAAACACTAATAATTAACTCATTCCTACGATGCACTAAAGCACGAGAACATATATTTGTTGTTTTATATTTATGAACGTGTATGAAGAACAGCTCTATATTACGTCTACCCTGCGATTCTACTGACTCAATCGTCAAAATTCAAGGGTTTATGATCTGTTTGCTCTTAGAAAAATGTCATGGTGAAATCGACACTCTGTCCAAGCCACATTGCGGATAATACAAGTAGATTAGTTTGATCCTTGGTTGTCAATCTAAAGAATCGCGCACCTGCGTAACGGTAAAATTCACCGACTTTAAAGTCGGTGTCGTTCCTTTGTAATCTTTGAAGGACAAGTATAAGCCTAGCAATGGATACGTCTTTTTAATCTGTAACCAACCCAATAGCTAACCGTGTGGAATCGATTTTGTCCTGAAATATTCCAGGGGTGCAGATAATGTAAACCCAAGGAATTTCGAGGAAGCATTGACTCGAGTAACTTTGTTTCTAACCCACGGTTACAACGGGGTCTGGTGAAGTCACCTTCACGATAAGTGGCTTAGTGGAGAGGGCCAGTGTTATACTGAGTCCCTGAACGTGGGGCAGTGCCTCATCTTGAAGGGCGGGATCAGTCCCGGTGAGTCGCCACGTTGCCGTGGGCTTTAACGTGACTGGAAGCATTACCGATTTTGATGTAGTCGTGACGTCACTGGCACCCAACGGGAGCCATGCGACAATGTGTGTCACTTTTTGAAAGATATTCGTTGGGCCAAACAAGTACACATACCCATGCTTATCTTCCGACAATGCAGCACGGAAATGGCTTTCCCCTAATTTACCCAGAACAGACTCGAACATATGAAATACTGCTTTCTCCGTGAAGTTATGCTTGGCAGTGGTAGTTAAACCACTTCTGCAGAACAATGTGTTGCATGTATCAGTGTTTGCATAGAAATACCAAGTTGCCCTGCCCAAGCCAAGACGGGCCGCCAGGAACAGACCGCGAGCTCCGTATAGGGCCTGCGCATCTTCCGTTACACATTCCGTGGCAGCACAGTCCTCATAGCCGCCGTCGGCGTCCCATCCCCACTCAGTCAGCCAAACTGGTTTACAGGGGGTGTTGACGTCCCTCCAGCGGATCATGTTTCGCACGCTGTTGAAGGTCGAGTCCGGATGCTCCGGATACGTTGCCACTCTCTTACCGCTTTCATCGGTAACAAAGCTGTACGCATGCGTATTAACTACACTGATGTTCGTTGCAACAGCACTCCTCACTCGATTCCCGATATAATTTCCGCTTGTTGGTTCCTCTGGAGCAATGATGTAAGCTTGGAAGGCCCCAGGGAGGACGTCCATGATCTGATCGACGTCTCTTACACCTGCTGTCATGCCCTCTAAAACAGTAGCATAGAAATCAGCACTATAATCCCAAGGCTCGTTTCCCACCTCCATAGCGGTCACCAGACCGTTACCTATCTGTGGGCCGAAGTGACGGCCAAACTCTCTGCCATACCTGTACGCTGATTGGCTAGGAGTGTTCCAAACACTGGCTGGAAAAGTCTTGCTGAGGAACTGAATAGACGTGTCGACTTTAAGACCGGCTGACCGCCAATTGCTGTATTCCTTATCCCAATTTAGCCACCAAAACGCATTAGTACCGTTACCTTGACCCATCTGTTCAAACTGTGGGTCGAAGTCCGGGTCCTTCACGTCCCAGTTAAGATTGTGGTAGTTCCTTGCATAGGACGCTACCCTGCTGTACAGTGTGGGACCATTTGGATTGTGTCCCCATCCCCATATACCATTCACCCCGAGCATCTGGCGTATAGACACCGGGTTGGCTGTAGCCTTTGGTGCTGGTCCCCATATACCATACTCGTCATAAGCGTCGATTTCCCAACAGTACACTTTGTTGTGATTCTTCAATTTCACATCATAATTGATCGCTATGTACCTATATTCGGTCGGTGATTGTAATCGGGTTTGGACTGCTTGCAATGCGGTAGGCTGTAAAGCTTGCACGGTGTCCCAAGTTTGTCCGTCCGCAGACATAAGGAGACTTGTACTATATGCTGAGTCGGTCCCGGCCCAGTGTCTCGTACGAACCACACCTATCCTCCGTAACACGCCCAAGTCTACCACTATCCGTTCCTGGCAACCTTTGTGCCCTACAGCAGCTATTTCCTTTACACTGAAAGACATGGCTGATTTCAGTATAATTTGGTTTAATGTTGTCGTAACAGCAAACGTTCTCCGTTGATAGTTATCGCTCTGGTTAAATGTATACATTGAGGTTTCAGCGCCAAGGATATCCACTGCCTTAAGAACTGTATCTCCGTTATAAATCCCCCATATCGATACCTGGGTAATGTCCTTACCGATCGTGTTAATTGACACCTTCGCCCCGTTGTTTTGTCCGACTGCTACCTGACTTGTAGTGTACACACTACCGTCTGTTAGCAGGTGTACATCTTGGTTTGTTCCTCCGTTTATCTGACAAGCAGACGTTTGACATAGATTAAGCAAAACATTGACATTCGGTTGAAGCAGGAACTCTGTCGGCAGGCAGGCAGCGGAAGTCCAGTGTGTGTTGTCATTTCCATCCAAAACGAGGCCAGGATTGTTGCCAGTCGAAGCATTCGCGGTGACTCCGCCTTTCTTTGTCCACGACGTAACTAGTCCAGCATCAGGATCCCAGCTACTGACCGCGTGAACAATGACCAGTAGTGTCAGACTTGCCAGCAACATTTTGCATCTACAACAAAGTAAGTTTTCAATGCAAATGTATTATCTTGTCAACACAAAGGACAAGTAAATAACAAGAAACAAAGAAACATTGGTTATTGGGAAGTAATCGGTTGTTTACACGCATATACCAAAGAGAGACTTTAAAATATAAGTATTCCATAAGATATATGCGAACCAGTACTGTATTAAGTTGCACAAACTCCGTTAGAGAAATCTGTTGTGTCGATCACCAACACCGCACCTTGGCATAACAGCCGTGTCGAAATTTGGTTAAAATGGATACATGCATGCAAGATGCGCTATGTTCATTATCTCGGAACATTCTATATCACCAGGATCTGAGTGCTTCAAGCCACGAGACGCCATATTGACCAATCAGAGTTACGGGATAAATCAAATAAGGTATGAAAGTTCTATGTACATAGAACCTTTACCGTGACATCGTAATGCTATGACGACACACATTCTTTATATAGACACGTTTAAGGTAGCAAGGAGTTACAAATCTTTCTACTTACCAAATGTAGTATACTCCTCTGGTTATAGCTCTGTATACTGTGTTATATAACGGTGATCTACTATGTTTGTAGGAAGACTGCGACGTAAACGTGTTAAGGTGATAGCTATCAGACCGACGTGTCCTATCGTGTCCTGTCTATGTGTTCCATACGTATGGTGTCTCTACTGTATATTGTTCAATAACAACGATTGATGAACACATGGGAGATAACATGTATCGAGGCGACAACGGCAATATGGTTGATGAGCACGTACGAGAGCCTGTACAGGCCGATGCTATGTTACCGGTGTCGTTGACTGAAAATGTGTTAGTGACATTTTGATTGTACCTAATAATATTTACTACTTTTTTCTCGGGCACATAATAATGTACGGTTTTTTTCGAGATCCGAGCCCAAATATTTTAAATAATTATAACTTCTTTCCAAAAATAAAAACATTTATTTTCGAACTATTCCATCGCTAATAATGCAGCAAAATTGAAAAACAATATAAAAGTGTCACCATACAAATGCAAGAACAAATAATACCATAGAATCACCATACAAATACAAAATATCCTACATAAGGACAAAAAACAACACAGTGTCAACACAAAACGACAAAAGACACCACAGCGTCAACACAAAGACAAAAGACAACACAGTTTAAACAAAGACAACATATACCACCTCAACAAAAACAAACTAAACAAAATAGTGTCGACACACAGCGACAAAAGACATCACAGTGTCTACACACAGCGACAAAAAACACCACAGTGTCTACACTCAAAGACAATAGACACCGCAGTGTCAACACACACAGACAAAGGACACCACAGTGTCAACACACAAAGACAATAGACACCACAGTGTCATCACACAAAGACAAAAGACACCACAGTGTCTACACTCAAAGACAATAGACACCACAGTGTCATCACACAAAGACAAAAGACACCACAGTGTCAACACACAAAGACAAAAGACACCACAGTGACAACACACAACGACAAAATACAACTCAGTGACAACACAAAACGACAAAAGACACCACAATGACAACACACAAAGACAAAAGACGACACCACAGTGTCAACACTTAAAAACAAAAGACACCACATTGTCAACACACAAGACAAAAGACACCACAGTGTCAACACTCAAAGACAAAAGACACCACAGTGTCAACACTCAAAGACAAAAGACACCACAGTGTCAACACTCAAAAACAAAAGACACCACATTGTCAACACACGAAGAAAAAAGACATCACTGTGTTAAAACACAACGACAAAATACAACTCAGTGACAACACAAAACGACAAAAGACACCACAGTGTCAACACACAAAGACAAAATACGACACCACAGTGTCAACATTTAAAGACAAAAGACACCACAGTGTCAACATACAAGACAAAAGACAACAAAGTGACAACACACAACGACAAAAGACACCACAGTGTCAACACACAAAGACAAAAGACACCAGTGTCAAAACACAAAGACAAATACATCACAGTGTCAACACACAACAGCAAAAGACACCACAGTGTCAACACACAACGACAAAAGACACAACAGTGACAACACACAAAGACAAAAGACGACACCACAGTGTCAACACACAAAGACAAAAGACACCAGTGTCAAAACACAAAGACAAAAGACATCACAGTGTCAACACACAACGGCAAAAGACACCACAGTGTCAAAACACAACGACAAAAGACACAACAGTGACAACACACAAAGACAAAAGACGACACCACAGTGTCAACACACAAAGACAAAAGACGACATCACAGTGTCAACACACAAAGACAAAAGACACCACAGTGACAACAAACAATGACAAAAGACACCACTGTGACAACACACAAAGACAAAAGACACCACAGTATCAACGAAGAAAGACGAACGACAACACATTGTCAATACACAAAGACAGAAGACACCACAGTGACAACACACAACGGCAAAAGACACCACATTGTCAACACATAAAGACAAAAGACACCACAGTGACAACAAACAACGGCAAAAGACACCACAGTGTCAACGAACAAAGACAAACGACAACACATTGTCAATACACAAAGACAGAAGACACCACAGTGACAACACACAACAGCAAAAGACACCACATTGTCAACACATAAAGACAAAAGACACCACAGTGACAACACACAACGACAAAAGTCACCACTGTGACAACACACAAAGACAAAAGACACCACAGTGGCAACGAACAAAGACAAAAGACAACACATTGTCAATACACAAAGACAAAATACATCACAGTGACAACACTTAAAGACAAAAGAAACCACAGTGACAACAAACAACGGCAAAAGACACCACTGTGACAACACACAAAGACAAAAGACACCACAGTGGCAACGAACAAAGACAAAAGACAACACATTGTCAATACACAAAGACAAAAGACACCACAGTGACAACACATTAAGACAAAAGACGAGACCACAGTATCAACACACAAAGACAAAAGACGACACCACAGTGTCAACACACAAAGACAAAGGACACCACAGTGACAACACACAAAGACAGAAGACACCACAGTGTCAACGAACAAAGACAAAAGACAAAACATTGTCAACACACAACGGCAAAAGACACCACAGTGCCAACACACAACGACAAAAGACACAACAGTAACAACACACAAAGACAAAAGACACAACAGTGACAACACACAAAGACAAAAGACAAAACCACAGTGTCAACACACAAAGACAAAAGACAAAACCACAGTGTCAACACACAAAGACAAAAGACACCACATTGTCAACTCACAACGACAAAAGTCACCACAGTGACAACACACAAAGACAAAAGACGAGACCACAGTATCAACACACAAAGACAAAAGACAACACATTGTCGACACACAAAGACAAAAAACAACACAGTGACAACACACAACGACAAAAGACACCACCTTGTCAACACACAAGGACAAAAGACACCACAGTGACAACACACAAAGACAAAAGACACCACAGTGTCAAAACACAAAGACAAAAGACATCACAGTGTCAACACACAACGGCAAAAGACACAACAGTGTCAACACACAACGATAAAAGACACCAGTGTCAAAACACAAAGACAAAAGACATCACAGTGTCAACACACAACGACAAAAGACACCACTGTGACAACACACAAAGACAAAAGACACCACAGTGACAACACACAAAGACAAAATATGCACATTTTCAAACAACATATACAACATCGTACGATAGTGATATTCAAAGGACAAAATCAACGTGAAAAAAAGACAATAAAGGGGACTTAGGATACATCTTAAACAAAATAAAAAGCAAACAATCCAGGAAGATAAAAGTGTTTTATTTCAAAGTATAACGTGACACGTTATCACGTCAGATCTGTTACTTTCAACGTGTGTAGATATGTAGGAGTAAACTCAATTAGTGGAACGGTAAAATGGCATCGACATACCAGGCAAAACCCCAGAAACCAAAGTTAAAACATTGACTCAGGACAAACTAAAAAAGGAACAAGGCAAAAACGTCATATCGTCAACGAAGTTTCAGGACAAGATAAGAAACTGAAGTAAAAACATGTTATTGCGTCAACATTGACTCAGGACAAAATCAGAAACCAATGTAAAAACATTTCATAGCGTCAACAAAGTCTCTGACAAAATCAGAAAGCAAAGTTAAATATTATAGCATAACACATCAAAGCAAAAAGGAAAACATCATAAACTGCGGAGCCGAAACCGGATAATCGGTAAGGGTATGCCTTTCCTACCCCACATGTGGTACCCGTCTTTATGTCAAAATCACACGACCGGTATGTTAACACGACGTCCGCTATTGGCCATCGTATTAATAAGCAATCATAACAAAGCGAAACGCGTCAGACATATGGCCATATGTTTTGTAAATTTAAAAAAAGCAACACGTGTTTGTCATTGGTTAAAGTCGTAGATCTCCTGAGTGTAATATGCTCGGGGGTTGGATATTATGTATATTATGTGTGTTTAAATAAATGATGGTTCTGTCATTCTGTAACAGGTGTGGCTATCGGAAAACTAACAACTTGAATATTAATGTTTTGTGGTGAATATATATAGCAGGTCTTTTTAAAGTTTCACGCGTGTATTTCACAACAAACCTAAGGGTGATCCCAATAGTTATCGTGCCATTTCCTTACTTTACATTATTTTAAAAGTGTTTGAAAAATTACTACTTGTGCGACTGGATTCAACAAATCTCTTTCAGATTAATCCGTTACAAAACGGTTTTCAAAAGAACGTCAGTAGTACGATGACCTTACTTAGCCCACGAGTCTGTTTCGTATGCTTGTGACAATAACAGTAAATTGTGTGTTTGCTTCCTAGATGCTGCCAAAGCATTTGACAGCGTATGGCATAATGGCCTATTTTTTCAAACTCGCCAGCATCGGCTTTAAATCAAAGTATATTCATATTATTGCTTCTTTATATGAAAATATGTTTAGTGCTGTTTTGCACCAAGACTTCGTTTCTGATTGGTTCAAAGTCTGCCAAGGTACGCGTCGAGGAAGCATTATCTCCCCTTGGTTATATACACTTTTTATTAATGATTTGTTAAATGATTTGTGCGCTGCAAAGTATTCATTTCTTATTCAAGACGTTAATGAAACTTGTCCAACACAAGCTGACGATATTACGTTGTTATCGCTTTGTAAACGTGGCCTGGACAATCTCATGGATACCGGCTACACTTACAGCTGTAAATGGAGATTCAAATACAACGCGTCTAAGTATGTTGTGATTGTCTTTGATGAAGGTAAAAATGCTTTCTCAAAGACGATTCGGAGCTGGTCTCTCGGCAATGAAGTTGTTTCAGAGGATGTTGGGACAAAACATAAAACTTCTTAAACAAATTCAAACCTGGCTGTCCAGACATCAATGAGATTGTTAACAAGCTACGTAGTCAATGTTTTGCCCTACTCCATTGTAACCTTTTTGGTACTGGGATCAATCCAATGACACGTGCAAAGTTATATAAGTCTATTGTTTTGCCTAGAAGCCTCTTTGGCTGTGAACTTTGGTTTTCTCTAACAGAAACTGATTTGGCTCGTATTGAAACTACATCACTTATGTGCAAAGCTCATTCAAAGTTTTCCCCGTCGCAC